CCCCTTAACCAAAGAATGGAAAAAGAAAATGTGGTACATTTATACAGTGCAGTACTACACAGCAGAAAAAATAACACTTTGAAGTTTGCAGGCAAATGGATCTAGAAAACATCATTTTGAGTGAGGTAACCCAGACCCAGAAAGACAATTATCATATGTACCCACTCATAAGTGGTTTTTAAACAGAAAGGAAAGAAAACCAACCTACAAATTATAATCCCAGAGAACCTAGATAACTAAGAGAAACATACATGGGAAGTAATAAAAAACAAGATTTCCTGAGTAAAATTGGAGCATGGGAACCATAGGGGAGGGTTGAAGGGGAGGGGAAGGATGGGAGGGGAACAGAGAAAAATGTATAGCTCAATAAAATCAACAAAAAATTATTTGATAATTTTTTTATTTGATAAAACCCAACAAACACCCACCATCCCTTTGGTTTAGAGACTGTGTTAGTTATATTGTGTTGGTTGTAGCTGTTGCTGTGACAAATACCTTGGAGGAACAATTAAAACAAAGACAGATTTATTTTATCTCACAGTTTCTGAGGGGTTTAGTCCATGGTCACTTGGTCCTGTTGCTGTGGGCCTGGGATGAGGCATCACACCACAATGGAGTGCGGAGGGAATCACTTCATGGCTGAATGTGATCCAGGAAGCAGGGAAGCAGGGAGCAGGAGGCAAGCAAGAGATAGGGGTAAAGTGTCTTTCCAGGAAACACTGCTAGTGAGCTACTTCCCTTACCTACACCCTAACTTGTACTTTTTCCTCTCAATTATATTATTAATCCATCACATTATCAAGGAATTAGCCCATTGACTAGGTCAGAGTCTTCAAGAACCAATCACTTCCAATAACCTATCAAAGAGCCACCAAACCTTCCCACCTGAGTCTTTGGAGAAAGCTTTCACCTCCAGGTGGCTACAGAACAAACATTCTTTTACATTTCCACGCCTCCTTTCATGTAGGCAGGGATTTTGGGCTTCATCATGAAAACTGTGATTCAGGCATACAGAAGTACTTATCTTCAAAGACAAAACGCCAAACAGAGTACCCTTTGTGTGACTCGTTTTAAAATTCGGAGTGAATCAGCTTGGCTATTCAGTGTGCTGCCTGGCAGTTGACCACACTCGACATTTGCTGAGCTATGAGCAGGGGCCCAGCGATGAGACTGAGGATAGGGACTGCGCTATCCCCAGAAAACAGGAGCGAGTAGGTACTGCAAAGCACATCCGGGACATTTACAAAGAGGCAGAGGGTACTTTTTTTTTTTGTTTGTTTGTTTTTTTGTCTATTCCAGCTCAGTAAATAAAACCCGTTCTTCAAGAGCTAGGTTTCTGGCAGTAACCAGGGAACTTTTAATTAACATCACAGTTATTTTTAAGGACTTCTTAGACAGAACTAACTTTGATCATCTTTCATCTTCAGTTTCAGAGAAAGACAAAGACATTTCCAATAAGAACGGATTCTCAAAATAGACTGTGTGGGTGACTTTGTTGTTGCTCTTTCACTCCTTGTGGTCCTCACACTATCCACGCGGTTACCTCTGGGGAAGGAATGAAGAATATGGCTTCAGCATCTGCTAGCAACAAAGAAGTGTAACTGGGGTGCTGCTAGTAAAGGAGACCCTTCCCCAGAGCATGCAGTGATTCTGATCTCTTCTGAAATGGGAGAGAAAGCTTCAAAGAAAAGCGAAAGTAAACACGCCTTTGTTAATTTTTGTTTCTAGTTATGCTAGTAAATTCATAGGGATAATTCAGAAAGATGGGAAAAGCAAAGTGTCTAGTTAAAAAAAACTATTTACATTTTCATGTAGTTTTAAACATGTATTGTTTGACTACAATTTAGAAAAGTAGTTATTGGTAAAAAGCAAAATGAAGATGTGTTAAGCAACTGAAGAAGCTTTTGTTAAATTCCAACAAATGGCAAGATCTTGAATTCTTGATTTTTTTATGTGTCTAGCAGTAGGGTTGACCTGTAGCCTTAGGAAAGTCTGACAGGAAGGCCAGCATGTCTGGAGAGTTAATGACAGTTGGGCCAGACTCTGGCCTTTGAGCGTCAGAGATTTTTCTTGACTGAGCACTTAATCCCGGTCTCTCCTCAGATGATTCTGTCTGAGACTGGAAACCATTCCTTTCCAGAGGAACTGTGCTGTAAAAATTAGTAGAAACAAAATATTTAAAACAATAGAGTGGATTGAAAATGGTTTGGTTTTATCGCTGGTCATTCCTCCTAAAACTTGCTTGCATCCTGTTTGTCTTCACCTCTCTCTCTCTCTCTCTCTCTCTCTCTCCTCCCTTTCTCTCTTTCAACTGCTGACAAATGATTTTGTTCTAAGCTTTGATTCATTGTAGCTTGATTTTTACCACAATTGCCTGAAGCTCTTTAGTATGATCAGTGGTACAGTCAGGTTAAAGCACATGCTCCAAGCTCCATCCATCTCCTCTGTGCGCATCTAATTTGCACTTGCCCCTGAAATACTTGAGAATATGAAAGTCTTCTGCTCTTCCTCTTTCCCCTGATTTATTTACAATTCATAAATTCTTTATTCCAAGGCTTCCCTCTTTGAATCACTATTTTGGGCACTGCCTGAAATGAGATGGCACTTACAGATTTTTCTAGAGCTGTTTCGCACAGTACATTCTGTAAGCTACTGGAACATAAACCAGGATTTCCCTCTCACAGACATGCTGTGTGAAGATCTTTGCAATAAGCTTTCAAGCCCATTTCAAAAACATTTTTACCAGATCTGGTGCTCTGATGCCAGGGTTAGGATAGTAATGGAAGGCTAGGTCCCTGACATTAATAAATCATGTCCAAAAGGGCGCGAGTGGAACCTGATTAGTACATGCTATGTACTCAAAAACAATGTTAGCTGTACAAAGTATAACCCAAGAAGTACATAGTACATTCTCAAAACAGTGTTGGCTGTACAAAATAAACCCAATTATTACATACTGTGTGTCCAAAACCAATGTCAACCATACAAAGTAGAACTTGGACTTGCAAAGGACTACTGGAAGTTGCATTTGGGTGATAGGGTGGCAAAGGAAAGCAGCAGGTGGAGGATTGGAAGACACACAAGCAGAGTATACGCAGATGGAGTTGGGGAGGAAAGACAGGCTGTTCAAGCCCGGAGGGCAACAAAAGTAAAAGTGTACAGGCTGAAGGCAAAGGAATAGAAAGCAAGGCTTCTGAGCTGCCTCCCTGCTCTGATGTAGAGGGACATAGATGTTAATACTAACAGGGAAGAAGACAGTTGTGATGACCTAAGGGTGGATCAGGCTATTAGTATGGGTTTTGTTTTGCAGATGGAGCGGGTAATTGCTTAAGTGAATAATGTATGTGAGGTTGTGAGACTGTCAGATGCAGCACAGGGCACAGTGCAGCTACTTTATAGATGGGAAAGTTGTGGTATGAGTGACAAGATCGTATTTAGAAGAACATCCTAAGTATTTTTTAACCTTAGATTTCTGGGTATATTCCCATCTACCAATTACCAATTAGTCTATCAATATTTGCCCTTATGCCCACTCAACCCTCCACAAGGAAGGTGCTCTTTGCAACAGACAGAGATCACTACAGAAAACCACAACCAATCAAAATGCAGAGTTGTGAAGTCCAGTCCCGTTGGATATATCTACATTATATCCTAATCCTAAGATTCAGGGAGCACTGGAGACGAGGGGGGTTGAAAGATTGTATGAGTGAGAGGATTAGGAAGTTTGCTATAAAATGTTCTCCTAGTAAAATGTCAAATGCTGTACCCATAAATCTCACCAGCATGACTGCCTAAACATGCGTTGAACATAGATGGTGTCATGGTGTCATGGAACATGCCAGACTCAATGGGGGAAAAGCCCATGAAACCTCAGCCCTACACAAAGAACAACAGTCAGCTAAGGAAAGCAGGGACAGCTATTCTTCCTCAAGGTAAAGCACACCAATTGGTTGTCCAATGCCAAATGGTCAGCCCTGAAAACATACATGCAAATAACATATGGACTGAACAGGTTGTATTTAGGAATATCTATGTATATAAAATATGTATGTGCTTGTGATAACAATTAATGAAAAAAGAGGTCATGAATTTGAAGGAGAGCAGACGTGGCTATAAAAGAATGTTTGGAAGAGGGGAGGGAAGGGAGAAATATTGTAACTAAATTATAATCTTAAAATTAAAAAAGAGGGGACAAGTGAGCAGGTATGTTTTTTTCACAAACCTAAACCACTTCCTCCTGCTATCTACTTCCTAAACTAGATCCATTCTAGCTTTGAAATTAACCATATTACCTAATCAACAGCCATTTATCATGGAAGAAAATAATAATCATTTACATTACAGTACAGTGTGATTATTTGCCAGCACATAGTATGCACCAATCCAAGTCCCTCCCAGGTAGTATTTTTTCTTTCTTTGAGAGGTTTAGGAAATGGCGTTAACAGAGATCATGTGTAAGACAGGATTCCATGCCTTGGAGGAAGGAAGAATTCTGTAGGCGGCATATAAAGGGAAGACTGGGTGCTGTGATGGAGAAGATGTGAGTAAGATATAAAAATAGTTTCACAAACTGCAAATAAACTAATACTGGGAGGAGTAGATCATTTGCTTAAGTTCAGATAGCTGAAAAATATTATATCTGGTGTCAAATCTAGGGCATAGAATCTGGTGGGTTGTATTTTTAGTGATGGGACTAGGTTATAGGAATTCAGAACCCAGACTGGTATGCTCTTACTGTGTTCTTCCAATTATAAAACAAATGTCTTTATAACCATTGAAATGAGTACCTTTCAGGTGAAACATGCATTGGTCCCATGAAGAGCTTTGCACAAATTTTGATTAGTTTAAGGATGCTGGATATCTCAGTGAGATGTGTCTATTCTCTGCTTTTTAATTCTCTTTATGTCACTGAACACTTTGTACCACTCAGTGGAGATCTCTGGGTATTTAGAGCTTTGTGTGGTCTCTAATGAATGTGTTTTCATTTATGTTTTATGTATCATATTCCTTCTTGTATGCACCAAAACGTACATTGAGTAATGAGTTCTGGGTGGCAAAATAGGATTTATTTTGCAACTGTCTTGCCTACCTTCGCCTGCCAGTTGAACAAAAACATATCTTGGAGTGCTGTAGTAAATGGTTTTATTGCAGTATGACCTATCTACTGGCAAAAATTCAACTGTGACATTTAGTTCGTTCACAGACTTGTGTAATTATTAACACAATCTACTCGACCATTTTCATTCATCTTTTTCAGCTTTGTACCAGCCACTTCCACATCACCAACTCACCACCTACCAACTCAAGCATAGAAATCACTATTGTTTATCTATCTACTGATTTGCATATTGTGGGAGTCTCATGTATGGAGTCATGTAGTATTTACTCTTTCTCTTAATTAGCTCTTTTCCTTTTACATGGTTCTTTCAATGTCCAACAAACCTTGTTGTAGTAATATCAAGAATTTAATTCTTTTAAAGACACTAGCTGGATGGTGGAGGCACACACCTTTAATCCCAGCATTTGGGAGGCAGAGGCAGGTGGATCTCTGTGAATTCAAGGCAAGCCTGGTCTACAGAGCAAGTTCCAGGACAGGCTTCAAAGCTACACAGAGAACCCCTGTCTCAGAAAACCATAAAAACACTATTCCACACTCTGAATATCATCTAATTGTAAACATTTGGGCTATTTTTAAATTATCTACTGTACAAGTTTTTGTATGCACATATGTGTTGAGGAATATTGTTTTCATGTGTATAACTTTTGCTTATGCTGCATTTGTTTAACTCTGTGAAGTTGTGTTACTGGGCCTGTCTAAAACACCTGATGGCTAATAAAGAGCTGAAGGGCCATTAGCGAGGCAGGAGCAAGGGTACGTGGGGCTGGCAGGCAGAGAGCAGAAACAGAAGGAGAAATGAGCAATAAAAAAGAGCAGCAGGAGAGCAAGGTGAAGAGAACATCAGGGCCAGCCACCCAGCCACCCAGCCACCCAGCCACCCAGCCACCCAGCCACTCAGCCACCCAGCCAGCCACCCAGTCAGCCATCCCTCCAGTCACCCAGCCACCCAGCCACCCAGTCAGCCAGCCATCCAGTCACCCAGCCACCCAGTCACCCAGTCACCCAGCCACCCTGCCACCCAGCCAGTCACAGAGTAAAAGGAAAGTAAGATATGCAGACGTAAGAAAGATAAAAGCCCAGAGGGAAAAGGTAGACCGGTTAAAAAAAGTTTAGAAAAGCTGACAAGAAACAAGTCAAGCTAAATGCAGGTATTTATAAATAATAATAAGCCCCTAAGTGTTTCACTTGGGAGCTGGGTGGCAGGCTCCTCAAAAAACCAAAAAAAAGCAAAACATCACATGACACATTTGTTTCCATTTATCTTAGGGATGCCGTGAAGAGGAATTACTGGTTTATATGATGATTCTGTACTTGAGGTTTTGAGGAAATTCTGTAATTTTGTCAAATGATGCTTTATTGCTTTGCATTCCCGAAAGAAGTTTTGGGGGTCCCAATGTCTACTCATTCTCATCCATACAAACCCTTGTTTCTTCGATCACAACGAACCCTGAAGATATGAACTGCTATTTCACAGTTCTTTTGACTTGAATTTTTCTGAAGGCCAATGATGCCCAGTAGGTTTTCAATGTATTTATGAGCCATTTGCATAACTTGGTAACAGAACTGTCTAAGACTTTATCACCCATTTTACTTCCAAGTCACAAGAACTCTTTGTGCATCCTAGATACAAGTCACTGCTCAGAGCTGGAACTCTCAAGTGTTTTTTTCTTGAGTTTCTTTATACTTCTTAGTAACTTTGTTTCAAGCAACAAAGTTTTACATTTTGATAAAGGACAACTTACCTACTTTTCTTTTTTTGCGAGTTTGATTTCTGATGTACCTAAAAAGATTTTCCTGAAACCTCAAACAATACCATAGGATTAGGAATATTGAGCCATAAATTTGGGAAGGCACAGTTCAGTGAATAAGAGTAATATCTTTGTTGGGTATCAGAATTATAGCAACTTCAAAAAAAATTGGGGCAGTGTTTTGCTTTTCTAATTTTGGGGATAAAATTTTGTGAATATTTTGTTTAGTTCTGTGTATGTTAGATCATACTTTTTTCCATTTTGAAGATTTTTTTCATTTTTCAGTACTTTTGCTATGGATCTTTTTAAAAATTATTCTCCTTGGACTAGGATGGAGTTCATGGCGCCCTTTGGATGTAATCATTTAGAAATTTTGACTGGTGTTTCTTTGGTTTATTTATGGCATCTTTTCCACATTCCCTCCTCCCCCATATATGTGCAGTTCATTTTGTGCTCTATTCCCCGAGGTTCAACTCAATTTTTTTTTTAAAAAAATTTACCCTTTGTAAAAGTACTTTATATCTGAGTACTGTACTTCATCTCCCCATCACTCTTCCCACTCTGACACCTCTGTGCCCCCTTCCTCTCATATCCGTGGCTTTTTGCAAGTTGATTTTTCCTTCTTTCCCCTTCTTTGTTCACCTAGCACAATTTCCATCTATCTACATAAATGTCCTTGGATTCTTTCTTATGCCTACACAAGGCTAGATTTGATCCCCTCTACAGATTTTTTTAAATAATTACTATTCTTTTCAGTGACAGAATTTCCATGTATCTTCCTATCCGCCTTTTTTTCTGAGACATTTTCTTCTTTATTTTTCCTTTCTGGTATGTCTGTTTCATAAGGAGCTGTTATCACAACTTCCTTTATGTCCCCAAGCAAGGTTTCCTTTAGTTCCCTAAACATACTTACAATAGCATATTTGAAGTCTGTGATGTCTGACATGCAAGATTTTCAAAGGCAGCTTTTGCTACGTATCTTAATTTCTTTTGCTCTTGTCAGTCACATTTCACCTATATGCATATATCACAAGTTTTTTTATTGACTAGTGGAATTTAAAATATTATCTTTTTTAATTACTATGTTCCAAATATAATGTTTCCCTGAGGAAAGCTTCAGATACTATGATTCCCTATCTGATAAAATTCACTGTAGTACTTACTGGTCCAGACCTGAGGAAAGACAGTGGCCACTTGTCTTGGAATAGATTCATAAGTAGGGTTCTGGGATGGGACAGCAACCACTGATCTCCTTATATTAATTGTCCCAGAGAAATATTAGGGCATTGAGCCATGTCTGTTTGTTCCATCTATGCGGTTACAGTGATTAAATATGCTTTGTCTTTTATCACTATTTTGATCCTTAAAACTTTAATTTTACTTTGAGTCAAGATGAAGCTGGGCCAAGTTAGGAACTTTAGTTTACATGAACTTAAAAGTCAATTTTTTTACGGAGTACATTAAAAAGAAAACATAATCACAGGAAGGCGTACAATTTATTAGTACATAATCTTGCATAAGATATATTTTAATGAACCAAGATTTCAAACATCATTATTTGTTGGGATTATATTTTCTGTAATTCTCATTGTGAAAAGGAAACTTAACAGAGATAGTCAGTAAACATATCTATTATTTATGTATAATCCAGCCTTAATTTAAAGAACCCTTACAGTTCTATAGTAAGTTTTATTACTATATTACTATATAACAGTTTTATATTAAGAATATTTTAAAAACACTCTATGAATTTATGCTACTCATTATGTAACAAGATAAAAATTTATCTAAGCATATTTTAGAGTCTGTTTTGAAAGAAAATCCTTACCAAAATCTATGCATAGAATGTTATAGATTTATGACACATCTAATATTCCCAAAGATACGACATTTATCGATTTAAAGATATTTAGAGTACTATAACTGGTAAAATAGTGTGGACTTACCATAGTATATAATCATAGTATTTAAATTTGAATCTGCACATTCATTTTAATTGTACATGCCAAAAAATAATTTTAGCATATAAGCAAAATAAATTTTAAAAAGGCATTACATTAAAAGATCAGGACTGCATCCAGGTCCTTCTAGCTCATTCCTAAAAGGAATCACGTCTTTATGATTTCTCTGTGAGCAAATTTATGCAGACTTCAAAAATGCTGGGTGATACTGATCTCTATTGCTATTGACAACAGCTTACCAGAGTAATTAACATTTCTCTCACTGTTTATGTTTCTTCTATATTTTTGTAATTAGATTTTTAAAATCATAAATTTCTAATATTCTACTTGATGTATTTCTAAATGTTGAAATAATATTTATGTTGGTTTATGTTGGTTTTAGTGAAGTCACAAATTAAAATATTACAATTTTTCATTTGATCTTGTCCTTTATGACTATTTGTTTATTCTATAGTCCCATGTTATTCAAACTAATGTTTAAAAGATACAAATTTTCTTATTATTCAGTATAATTTGGATAAAATAAAAAATATAGTTTTTAATTAAACTTACTTTACTTACTAAACTTACTTTAGCTGGCTGGGCATTGGTGGCACAAGCCTTTAATCCTAGCACTTGGAAGGCAAAGGCAGGCAGATCTCTGTGAGTTTGAAACCAACCTGGTCTATAAAGCAAGTTTCAGAACAGCCAAGACTACACAAAGCCCTGTCTCAAAAAAAAAAAAAAAAGACATTTACTTGTAGTGATAATTTGTTTGTGCTCTAACAAATAAAGCTTGCCTAAAGATCAAAAGGTCAGAGTGTAGAACTAAGCCACTAGTTAGTCACAGAGGCCAGCCAGTGAGGGCACACACCTTTAATCCCAGGACCAGAGTCAGACAGATAGATCTTCATGAACTCAAGGCTACCCAGAGCTATACAAGATTGAGTCTATAAAAAAAGAGACAGAGCTCCACAAAGGTGATGGCAATGCTTGGGATCACATACCTTTAATCCCAGCACTAGGGAGGCAGAGACCTGAGTGATAAGGCTGGGCGGTGAGAGGAATACAAGACAGGAGGAGACAGGAGCCCAGGTCAGTCTGAGGATTTGTAGAGATAGGATCGTCCCTTTGGTCTGTACATTGGTAGAGATAAGAACTCTCCAGTGGCTGACGGCTCTGCTTCTCTGATCCTTCAGCTTTCACCTCTGATAGCTGCTTCTGAGTTTTTATTATAAAGAACAATTTGAATTCATGTTACATTTACTCTAGCTGGAGATTTCCAAACATTTGGGGTTAATTCTTTGGATTATCT